AACTCTCTTTCAGTCTGCCTCATTCACAACTGGTTCAGGGCATAATCACGACAATGTGAAACGACGGACGGTCCGCACAAGTCCGCACAATGAAAAACGTCCGTTACAATGACCTCAACCAATCCCACGTTTTAGGTCATCAGTGGCGTTCTAGAAACGTACCGAACACGTTCGGCACGGGCTGTCCGAGTCTCGTCGCTTCTAAAATCCACCAACGCGGCAAGTCGCTGGTCGCCTGAACAAGAGCTTCTCGGCTAAGGTATCATTGTGGACAGTCCTACACTACACAGTCTACAGTGTATCTTCACAACGATTACGTCCAAGCTGGCATTAATTTTTAGTTTTACAGTGACCTGGTACGGCACTGGTTTGCACGGTTAGGATATTTTCAAGCAAACCCAGCACTACACTCTGCACACTGTATCATGTAGTACAGTCATGTACATGAGTAGACAGTAGTAACAGTACAAGTCTACCGCCGTAGATCTACCGGGTACCGGTACGGCGGTAGACTACAATCATGGTCATGTACAGTGGAATGAGTGCAGTGTAGATCTAGTAGACCTCTACTAGTGAGCACGTAGTGTACTGACGCTCCAAGCAGGCAAGCTAGCTGTCACTTGTCTTTGGAGTTTGAGGTTTTGGCTCCCCGGCCTGTCCGCCATCAGGCATCGTCAGCAGCAACTCGAGTTGTAAACAACGTCTGGGCATAACCAGACGCGCCCTCAGCACCATGGTGGACGAAAGTCCGTAACGTGGGGCATGGGGAAAGCTCGAGAGCCAAGTCTTTACGGCACGCTCGTTCGAGGGATTGAAAATGGAAACATGCAATCCGTCGTACGATTCTAGAAGCTTGGCACAGTGTCGACGTTTGCGAATAGTAATAGTAGTACACGTCGTACACCGGTGATTAGTCAGTAGCCAATTATAGCTGCCAATTGATCTGTCATTCCCATACGTGTGCACGAAAGTTTACAATACAGTCATTCTAGTGGTTTGTGCATTGCGCAAGGCACCAATTCGGATTTCTCGCCTTCTCAGTGGAGCTGGAATATTCTGAGTCGGTGACACGGACAGGCAGCCGGCACGGTGATATTCCATGACACATATTACCGTACTGGCAATATATGTTGCCGCAGTGAGGCCATGAAGCGTTACAGTGGCACATGTTTGCCGCACGCAGGGCGTTACATGCAAAGTCGCACAGGAGCCGTTACACAGGTTTCTATATTGCCGCAGTCCTTTTTTTGCTATTGCCGCATCACTTTTTGCTATTGCCGCATCATTTTTTTCTTTTTGCCGCATCATTTTTTCTTTTCATCCACATTGAAGGCACAAAAATTCAGTTGCTATCCAACTGTTACAAACCCGACGGCAAAGGACGACAACGATATCAATAGAAGACTGTATATTTTAACTATCAGGTACACAATGGTACACGTGCTTTCACAGTTTTCAGCCTTTTTTTGCAGTGCAAACTGCAATGAAAAGATCGCCGCACCCCGCCGGACGCGCGTTACGAACTCAACGAAAATTTGTCGCACTAGCCTGGTCGCGCGTTACGCCGCACCCCCCTGCGTTACGCGTTACGCGGCAACATATATTGCCAGTACGGTATGTACATGTCTGTCCCTGCGGGAATTTGCGGAAAAGATCCTCGAAAACTTGCGCAAGAAATTGCGGTAGAAAACAACAAAAAATGCGGCGGAAAGATGCGGAACTTGCCAGGAACTCGCGGAATTATTGGCAGAAAATTGCGGATTTGGGCCAAATGACGAAATTTGTTGTATCCTTAGAATCGCTATTTGCGTACTGTGCAAATGACCTACGTGCAGGATCACGAAAAGCACTGCATACTGCGTGAAAAGTGCAGACAAATGTAAAAAGAAGTGCAGAAAACAACAAAAAACGCGGGGAAATCGCGGATTTTTCAGAAAATCGCGGGTTTGGGCCAAAATCGCGAAATTTGTTGCATCCGTGGAATCGCGATTTCCTGGAGGGACAGACATGTAGTTATATTATTCTCAGCCTGTCCGAGAGGGAAGTCTGGCTACTTTTTTCCATGATTCATACCCAGAGGTCGCGAAAACTCACGAATATTCCTACTGTAGTACTGGAGATCTTCTTTTCTATCTCATGGCATTTTTCCTATCCACCGTTCCTATCAGGCTACTGTAAATATACAAAATTTCGGCGCTGCAAAATTTCGGCACTTCACGCTTTTTGACATTTCGGCGGCGATTTATTTTCGGCGTGGGGTAGAGGGCATGGTATAGTGCGACAGATGCTGTGAAAAATTTCATCGGCGTTTTAATTTAGGCTTACACTTCGGAGGCTCCGGCTACGAATGTGACAGTGTGTGTTAGGCCTCAAATCTTCGCTTTTCAAATAATTCACAGCGATTTAAAGAGAAAATTTACACAAACTCCAACCTCGTCCCCTTGATATTCCCGCCCTTTCCCTCACTCCTTTGGCCTTTTTCTTCGCTTCAAATACATGTAGACCAATCCCGAAAAGATTGTCTGGGTTCGAAAGGGGGCATGTCACCTGAGAGTACACTGTACAACACATACATGGCACTACCTGATCAGCATGCGGCACAAGACGTGTTTGATAGTTCGCGTGTGAATGCGAGGGTAAGTACACGGTTTTCTCGTTAGTTGCATGCAAAAGAGACGATGCGACAGAAAGCAAAGCCCTTTGTAGTTTTCTCTCTCGCACTGGTAATGGTCTGCTGTTGGAGTTGAAATGCTAAGACATAATCCTTGTTTCGCTCTTCTGGGTAGTGTGAAGAGGTCAACGAACATGTAGAGCTCACTTTGATGAAGTAGGCAAGGCTGTGAGCGCTGTGGCTCAAAGCGATAGGCCCTAAATCTTACGAGATATTTCGAGTGCTATTGCTTGTTGCGAGCGCTTCGTTTTCGATGAGTCCTGCCTCTTTCCTGGCCGCTGCCCTCCTATAGGATCAACCACGAAGTTACTGTACTCATCTGCAGCCGATCAATGTTATATTACACAAGAAGATATCGTTTTCGCCAAGCCAGTGCCCCACCAAAGACCATCGCCGTGTCACACCGTCGGAACGAGTTCATGATGAGAAACATCATTCGCGCGTGATGAAGAACTATTTCGAAAGACAACAATCATAGTCTTTACCCCCGGGACGACAACTATGCGCACGTCCTGCAAGGGGAGAATGTCACCAGCGACATCAACGAAGACGACGGCAGTATTTCGGAAACCTGGAGTCAGCAGAGGTCGTCAAGCTCCTCCGCGACCCGGTACATGTACAGTACAGGTGACATGTCGACACGAGCGTGCGGAAACACTGCATACACTGTAGTAATGTTGCGAGAGTTTGCGGAAGGAGTCCAAGTCGGGAAATCCATCAGCTCCAAAAGCTACCTGTAGGTGGGCGATGAGACTCCAGCTTCAGACTACAACAGTCAGGACTTGTAATAGTTGAACTTTGTGAAGCAGCAGATCGAGAAGTTAGCTGAAATCGTAGCTGTTGCAGTATGTCGGTGCTATGTAGCTTGCATTTTTTACGGAGAGTCGATCGCCACGCGAATGTTTCTCTCCTCACCGAGAGCTAGCTGGCCTCCAAACTCCGTCAGGGTCTGCCTAAGGTACCGAAGGTCCTTTGACTAGC